TAAGAGCTTGGAAATATTCCATCAGCCTCGAGGGAGGGCCGTGCCAGGGGCTGGGGCTCCCACCCACTACTGGCTGGCCTTCCTGCCTCTGAAGACTCCCAGTCCCGTGGGGCAGGAGCATTAAGAGCCCACCACAGCAGGGGGTGACAGGCATATGAGGGGGGACCCTGGAGATGCTGTAACTGAGGAACAGTGTTGAGGGCATGGCAAGGGAGCAGCTCTCTGGACTATGACGACCACATACTGGATGATGACTACACATGGGGCTTCAGAAGACAGCCCCTCCCCGGGGCAGGTGGAGGACCACCTGCTGCCCAGCTCCCACAGTGAGAACTCATGGCCAAACTTGTTTCATCCATGCATTCCCCGCCCTTCCAACTATTGGATAATTTTTTTTTTTTTAAGTAGGCTCCATGCCCAGCGTGGAGCCCAACATGGGGCTTGAATTCATGACCCTGAGATCAAGACCTGAGCTGAGATTAAGAGTTGGGCATTTAACCAACTGAACCACCAGGCACCCCGGATAATTATGTTTTTAATAGACTTTATTTTTTAAAACAATTTTAGACTTAGAAAAATTGAGAAGATAGTACAGAGTTCCCATATAATCCCATACAGTTTCCCCTGTTATTAGCATCTTACATTAGTAGGATACTTTTGCTATGATTCATGAACCAATATCAATATATTATTATTATTGTTAACTCAGGTCAAGGAGTTATTTAGATTTCCTCTTTTAGCCTAACATCCTTTTCCTATTCCATGATCCTATCCAAAACACATATTCATTTATTCTCTTATCTCCTTAGGCTCCTCTTGGCTGGGCAGTTTCTCAGACTGACCTTGTTTATGATGACCCTGATAGCTATTGAGGAGTACTGGTCAGGAATTTTGAATGACACCCGGCAATTTGGTCCCATGATTAGACTGGGGTTGTGGATTATTGGGAAGAGAACCACAGAGGTAAAGTGTCATTCTCATCACATCATACCCCATTTCATCATATTAAGGGACATACTATCAACACACTTTAACTGCGGCTGTTGGCCTTGATCACCTGGCTACGGTGGGGTTTCTCAGGTTCCTCCACCATAAAGTTACTCTTTCCCCCCCCCCTTTCCGTACTGTACTCTTTAGAAGGAAGTCACTATGTGCAGCCCGCACCTAAGGAGCGGGGTTTATACATCCTCTCCTTTAGGATGTATGTAAATTATTTGGAATTCTTCTGCATGGGAGATTTGTCTCTTCTCCCCTATTTATTAATTTGTTCATTATTTAGTCATTATACAGTATGTTCTCAGAGATGTTTACTATATACTTTCAGTTATAATCGAATACGATTTTATTTTGTTGCTCAAACTGTTCTAGCTTTAGCTACTGGGAGCTCTTCCAGTTGGCACCTGTGTCCCTTTGATATGCCTGCCTCCATCAATGTAGGGTTTTTTCCCCCAATACTTCTTTACTCCACGGCACTACAAAACGCTCCGGGCTCATCTTGTCTATTTCCTGCCCTAGACCTAGAATCAATCATTTTCCAAGGAGCCCTTGTTCCTCTTATTGAAGAATGGTATTAGAAATCAAGATCCAGAGGAGCCTGGGTGGCTCAGTTGGTTAACCGTCTGCCTTGGGCTCAGGTCATGATCCCAGCGTCCTGGGATTGAGCCCCGCATCGGGCTCCCTGCTCAGTGGAGTCTGCTTCTCCCTCTCCCTCTCCCCCTGCTTGTGTTCTCTCTCTCTCTCTCTGTGTCAAATAAATAAATAAAAATTTTAAAATAAGAAACCAAGATCCAGGTGCTAGGTTTGCTCATTGCTATTGGAGTGTCGTTTCTTTTAGGCCCTGTCAGTTGACAGAGCAAAAGATAGATGTTGAGACACATATCTATAAATATCTCCATGTGTGACCACCCGTATTTATACTAAGCTAAAAAGGAGTTCATACAGATGTCTTCAACGAATCCATTACCACATGGATCATTCTAGCCTCCTCCTTGCTTATCTGCAAATTTCTACTCCAATGATGAGAAACCTGGTTGCCGTCACCTGCCATTCATTTACTGAATTGATCCATTTCAGTACACGTGTATTGCAGTATCAGAACTGTTAAGCATACACCCACGGGTAACGACGTTATCAGCTAGACTACAG